TGTGACCTGCTGGATTTATCTTTACAAGGTCCAGGGTAAGAGAGCAGCACCAAGCTCTTGTAAATGTTGCACCTGGCTATCTTCAGATTCTTGTGAGGTATCTGTGTGGATTCTAACAGAAAAGAAAGTTTGAACCCCATCCTGGTTCTCTCTAGTGAGGCGCTGGGTGCTGGGATGGGCTCCTGGCTTTGGTGGAACTGCCCCACTGACATCTGGACTCAGGAATGTCCCTGGGACAATCAGGATTGTCAGGGGCATGAGGGGTGTTTGCTATTCCACATGTGCCAGCCTCTTCCGGAACTGAAGAAGCCACCAGCCTGACCTACTTCCTACTGTATCCAAAGCAAGGAGTCAGAATGAAGGCAAATAAAAAATATATATACGTATATATATATATATACACACACACACACACACACCAGACCATCCTATTGATGGTGATGCATGGTGTCACCCACTGGCAAGGCAAGGTGGCTCACTTCAATATTAACTTAGTTATAATAATCCTAATAATTAAAGAATTACCCCATATGAACTGGATTGGATTAACTTTCATCTAAATGGGTGTTTTGATAACTTGAACAGATCCGTCCCTTTTTCACTTGTCTCCCCTCCTCCTGTCCCCCGTTCTGCCCCTGTGTGGCTGCAGTGTTTTTAATTTCACCATCCACCTTCAAAGTAGGAGTAAATAGTGCTTAAATCCAGGTTTGCTGCCGTGGAGTTCCAATGGCCGGGTGAGGCTCTGGGTTTTTACAGCAGTCACAGTCGGTTCCAGTTGAAGCCATAATTGGTATTTCGGCCTGAGAGCTGCTGTAAATCTCTGAGAAAGGAAGAGAAGGATGCTCTCATTTTGTTAGGCTGCCTCTCTTTCGGATGCAGAGTGCATCTTCCAGCTCTCTGGGCTAATTAAAATGCCATTACAGTACATGTGGTGCTACAATACAGTCTAGGGAGACTTCCAAAAATAGATCCTTGAGTGCAGACAAATTAGAGAGGAAATATGCACTGAGCATTTTCTCATAGGTTTAAAGAGAAATGATCCATTTGCTGTCCTAATTGCTTTCTTGTAAATGTTGAAAGATTTCCCCCCCACCACTGTAAATTTCGAGTGAGCAGACAAATAAATAACGCATCCATGATAATTAGCGTTCTCATTACTAATATTGTAACTTGTCACACACGCTTGATATGCAAGTCAGGATGTTCCAGTGGCCTGTGCTTAACGGTCAGGGGTGGAGGGTTTTTATTCCTCAGCCAGCCTGTTTTAGCTGCCTGGTATCCCAAGCTTCCAAGGGCAGTGCATGATCTGGTTTTTAAATTCAGCCAAACGCTCGAGCAGAGCCGCCCACGGACCCTCCCCAGATCCTGCCAGGAAGTAAGGCAGAGAAATCCTGTTTGCACATGGTCCTTCCGCCCAGCCCAGCTTGGGTACTAAATGCAAGGTGCTTTTTATAGTGTGATACACTGCGGGTACTGAGAGCAGGGGGAAAGAAACCCCACGTTCCTGTGCCTGGAAGAGATTCATGGAATTGCTGTGGGCTGACACGTGTAATGGAGACAGCACAGAACTGCTGAGCAGTGCCAGGACCAGCCAGGAGCTCTTGTGTGCTACGGCCTGGGCCTCTCTGTCAGCAGCCTGATGGAAGGGGATGAGGCTTGTGCTGGCTTGTAGAATCCCAGAATGATCTGGGGCCTCAGAGCTCATCCCGTTCCACCGCCTGTCACTGTCCCACGCTGCTCCAAGCCCCATCCAGCCTGGCCTGGGACACTTCCAAGGATCCAGGGGCAGCCACAGCTGCTCTGGGCACCCTGTGCCAGGGCCTGCCCACCCTCTGAGTAAATCCCCTGCCTGCTCAGAAGCCCCTGATTGCTGTTGTGCAGTGAGGTGCTGTCCAGAATATTTATGAGCAAAGGAAACAGAAGTTGGTCGAGTGGTCTCAAACTCACAGCGTTAGCAGAAAACTGCTCATCCTGAAAATATCTCTGGGCCACTTTGTTGTCTTCCTTCCATGGAGAACAAGCTGACACTGGTAAAACTAAGTTCTGCAGCCCTTCTGTCTCATTTTTAAAAATCTTCTCCCTGAGGTTTCTCCTTGGTTGCCCATAATTCATCTTCGGGTGTTGAAACTAAAGCTCTGGCCACTGACACTGCCATGTCCCCGAGGGATGACCTTGCTCGTGACCCTCTTGGCACATCCAGGAGGGAACTGGGATGCTCTGTATCCTCACTGAATGCAGAGTGCTTGGTTTTGGAAAATCTTCTGGCTTTTCCTTATTGTGGCCTTGCTTGGCCAGGTATTTCCCTTTTGTAGTTGTACTTTTTTTATCATTATCACAGTGGGGAGGTTTTACTCCTTTGTCACTGCATGTCCCATCCTTTTTTCTAGTTTTAATTCTGCATTTCAAGCTCCAAAGGGACAAATTTCTGTCTGTAATGCTTATTCTGTCTACCTCTTGCTCCCGCCTTTCTCTCTGTCTCTCCTAAAGTTTTGCTTCTACACCCCTGTAGAACTTCTCTACTCTGGGTGTCCTTTAAAGATAATTTTTAGTTGCTCATTGCTTTGCTCCAGGAATTCAGGTAGGCTGGGGTGATTTGCATCAGGTTGAAAGATCTGAATAAATGGAAAACCATTTAAATAACCTCTTCGTTCCCAGTTCTGCCCTGCATTTTTAAGCTCATCAGAGTTGATTATAGTCAGGCTGCTTGCAGTTTTCTTTAAGACCTCATTGAATGTTCCAGCCTTCAATTTCTCTTCATTTCTTGTCTTTTTTAACTGGAGAAGTTGTTTTTCCCTGTCTTCATCTGGTTTGGTTTTGCCCTGGATGGACCTGATGATTTCAGAGGTCATTTCCAATCTTGACAATTCTGCTTTTGACAATTCCATTCTTTGTTCTGCTGCTTCATCTTTTCTGAAGGTTTTTATCTGTCATGTTTCTGGTTTATTCTGGACTGAACTTATAAATATTTTGTCTTTGTTTTGCTATTTTCAACTTCTTTAAAACCTGCAAACTCAGCTACTTCCAAACCTGTCCTGGCTATATTTTCTGAATAACTTAAACAACTCTTTGGAACAGATTAAGATAAAAACCAAAGTGTTCAAGTTTCCATCAATGAATTATGGCTTCATCTTGTTAATTAATGAGTAGAAATGCCCATCTGGAAACTAAGCTACATGAAATGTTCCCTGACTCGAGCCATGAATCAGCCAGGCTGGTGTCTGCTTCCCTCCAGGCTCCATGGACAGAGCACTTCGTTGCAGAGTTTTGGAGAAATCATCAGCCTGATTCATAGAGAACCAGTTTGAGAGGGATGTTTCCTTGCCAGTTCTGTTTAGTAGCATAGGACCAATTTGGCCAGCAGAGAGCTGGGGGTTATTTTGTAGCTTGTCTGGGCTGTCTCAGTATTCAAACCAGGGTTTGTGGCTTGTGAGGAGAGTCAAACCCTGATTGTATGGCTTGACCTCTTTGTGGAGTGCTCCAGCAGCTCCACATCCTTGTGCTTGAGGGAGGACTCCAAAGATTTAGAGCTTTATTTTTTGTTTATTGGGTTTTTTAAAAAAAATTATTTTATGGAGCTTTATTTGGACAGCAAAGACAGGACCTTGGTCTTGGATAGCTTGGTTTTGCTTCTAGTGTTTCAGGTGTCAGTGCTTTAAAAGACGTTCCTAAATGTTCTGCTGTGATTAATCTAATACTCATTTTGAAACAAAGATTGCAAAGCATTGGTTTGTGGGTATGGTATTTCTTACAATTAAACAAGTCTTAAAAAACACCCAAATTGATCTGAATTTTTTTCACAGAGCACCTGGGTGCTGCTACAGGGCTCTGTTTTGTCCATGGATTCTTCTCCTATGAAGGAGCATCTTTATCTGAAACTGCCCAGCAGAGAAGCTGAGAATCCTCTGCTCTCCAGGAAAACTGGGAATTCTCCTGGGCTGCGCTCTCCACTGACTCTGGAGCACCTGATGGCTTGATTATATTTAAAATAGTGATGTTTTGCTCTTCCCCTTCCATCTGGGTATGGTCACTGGAGGTGAACCAGGCAAGACATGGAGAAGTCTCCAGCTGTGTTTTTTCTCCAGAAAAACAGAGAAAGCAGGGAGAAGAAAACAAATATTAACATTTTTCTAACACTGTCCTTTTCCTGAGAGAGATGGGGTGGCTTCTTTGATGTCTCCAGACAGGGTTTGGCTTGATCCTATCAGAGCTGCAGCACAAAAAGGGGTTGGAGGGGAATAGTGAGACAGACTGGCAAAGGTGGAACAAATAGGTTTGAGATAAATTTTCTGTATCCCAGGGTTCGTAATTACACTGAAAACATAATTTAGCATTTTTTGCTTTGGCTTTTCTGGGAGGAGAATGGGTGACTAGAAACTCAGGTGTGGCAGTCGCCAACACTGGTTGTTCTGTTTAACTCTACCTGGATGCAAGATACGATCTTGGAAATATTTTAAATAGGGAACTGCTTCAGCAAGATGGATTTGTGCATCTCATTTACAAAGTATGTTTTTAATGCCTTTCTGAAATCTAAACTTATGCAAAATGGGGCTTGTTATGCATGTCTCTGCATTTTAATCTCCTGCAGTGATTTGTCAGTTTTCCTTAACATCTCCCTGGCATATTCCAGCCACTCCTCAACTTTGCTCCGTGGGGCTGCGTCTCTGTCTTAGTTCAGTTCCCCCAGCAAGGAAGGAGTCACAGTTTTCTCTGGTAAGGTTTGTGAGCTGACATGCCTATTTCCTCAGCCTGGGACCAGCACCAGTTGTGGACTTAAGGACCAGGAAACCCTGAGTGTAATTCAGGATAGAGTCTCCTTTATTTTCTGCTTTAGCTGTCCTGGGAATGTTCTCATTTCCATTGATTTGTGCTACTTGTGTTTCTGCTCTGCATCGATAATTGGTTGCTGATTTTTTTTTTTTTTTTCCTGCTTGGAATGGCTAAAAATAGCTCAGCTACCCAAAGTGTTGATGTGATTTTATTTTCTTTTTCCCTCTTTCCAGATGGGCTTTCTGGCAGAGACCAGCCAGTGGAGCTGTTGAATCCACCTCGAGTGAACCACATGCCGAGCTCTGGTAAGGAAAAAACCTCCTATTAAACCTCATTCCTGTTCTGGGGGTGCAGGAAAAGGCTCTGCAGCTCTGCCTTGTGAGCAGGAGAGCAGAATGCAAATGCAGAGTGCTGGAACAGAGTCTGTTAGGACTTGCATACTATCTCTGCTTTCCCAGGCTGGGAGAGTGGGATTTGGGAATGGAGCACAGCAGCCCTGGGAGTCTTGTAGGGAGCTGAGGGGAGCCCAGCCTGGTGGGAGATGCTTGGTTTGCCTTAGAAAGGAGAGGACAGGAGAACAAAGCAACATCTGAAGGAGTCCCTTCCCAGCCCAGAAGGAGGTTTTGGAGCTGCTGCTCTCATTAGGGAGAAGGAGCAGGAAGCCAAGGCCGGGCTGATCAAAGTGTGTCACGCTGGGCTCTGGGCTGTTTGCTGTTCTGCCTCTCCTAATGATCCTGCCACGGCCTCTCCTGGGGCTTGTCCTTCTCCTCCTCGTCCTGCCTGCTCCTTGCTGAGCTGGGAGAGCTCTTAGAGCTCAGGGCTGCAGCTCTACAAGTGATGGAAACCAAAGTTCTGCTCCCAGTACATGGAATTCTGGGGGAAACAATCTGCTGCTGACTTTTATGTTTCCCCCTTCTCACTCCCTGGTACAAGCAGATATTTTTACCAGGGGTGACAGGATATAGCAAACATTATCTTCTCTGCAGGGAGCAGCTCAGATCTTCCAAACTCCCAACTTTCCCTTCTCTGTTACCTTCCAAAATGCCCTCAGGCCCTTTTCTATTAAGGATGAGATCTTGCAGAAGATCTGAGCACTTCTGGTAATGCCAGTTGGAAAAATGTAAACGAAGTTTATTCAAAACAACTTTGGTACACTGGGAGGGGGAGAAAAAAAGTGGGCTGTGACCTAACCTAGATTTTTGTGGACTTGAATGCCTGTTTGGAGAAGGAAGCCTTCAAGGAGGTAGAGTTGTTGCACTGGGGGGAAAAAAGGAAGAGATGGTTGTTTACCAGGCACAGGCATTTGGCTTTGGATTCTGAGAAATCCCTTTCCCCTCTGTGTGCTCCCAAACGTGTCTGTCAGGTAAGGGAGGTTCTATTTTCCTAACCCTCAGAGGGAGTCTAATTTTCAAGTCCCTGTGGTAGCACAGGTCAACTTACAGGTTTTACTGTGCCCCTCAGTCGTGAGCCAGGCTGGGTTTTGTGGCTCTGTGGATCATAGGCCAGGATTGTGAAGGGGATGGGTTTGAATCTTCTAGCCTTTTATTTGGGGGTTGATTTTGTTTGCTGGTAAAGTTTAATGTTTCCTTTTGAGGTATTCAAAAGCACCAAAGGCTGGTGCTGGTTGAGAGCTTGGGGAACTTGATGGTGGAGTCTGTTCTGGCTGCTTTTCCCCAGGTGAAATGAGGCTGTTTGATGGAGCCAAGCAGGAGTTATGGAGTTCTTGCTGTTTGGACTCCATTCTGAGTATTTTTAATAACTCACCTCTGTGCTTTTGGGAAAACAATGAGGCAGAGATCCCTGGGGAGCTGTGCTGGTGCAAAGTGGGTGGGATGAGAGGTGGGCAGCGCTGCTTCTCTGTCAAATGGTTCTCCCAGTAACTGAGGTGTGGGAATGGAATTCAGGATGGGAGAGCTGGGGGTGCTCACCTGGAGAGCAGAAGGCTCCAGTGACACTTCAGAGCCCCTTGCAGGGCCTAAAGGGCTCCAGGAGAGCTGGAGAGGAACTGGCAACAAGGGATGGAGGGACAGGACACAGGGAATGGCTTCCGCTGCCAGAGGGCAGGGATGGATGGGATATTGGGAAGGAATTGTTCCCTGGCAGGGTGGGCAGGCCCTGGCACAGGGGGCCCAGAGCAGCTGTGGCTGCCCCTGGATCCCTGGCAGTGCCCAAGGCCAGGTTGGACATTGGGGCTGGGAGCCACCTGGGACAGTGGAAGCTGTTCCTGCCCATGGTAGGGGGGGGAATGGGATGATCTTAAAGATTCCTTCCCACTGAGCCCATTCTGGGATTGCCATATCTGGCTTTTATCATTCTTGTCTTCAGGAGTTTGCTGCAGATCTTTCTGAGAGAAGAAAGGAGCAGTAACACCAAGCATTGCTCTGGAAAAACAAGTTGTGTGTGGGATTAATGAGTGGTGTTCCAAGTCTCAGACATGACTGAAATAATGGTTAAAAACAGCATAAGGGAAAAAAATTGCTTGATTGCGTCTTGGGCTATTTTGTTTAAAACATTCTCCTGCCCTGGTCAGGGTAGGGTTGAATAAACTTGAGTGGTCGATGAGCTTTTATGCTGCATTTCTATTGCAGATAAAATCACTGCGGTGTGCTTGTAGGAAACCAAAATGTTTTCCTCTTCACCACGAGCCAAGTGAAGGAGAGGTTTGACCCTTGTGAGTTGTTTTTCTCTGATGTGAAATGGTGAGGAAGTTCTAAAAATCCTCCCTGAAATGCAGAGCATTTCAATTCCAAACCAAGAAATACTTACAGCAATTTTATGAAATGGTTTTTTAGGAGTGAATTTGGTTCAATAGAACTGACTTCAGTCATCAGCAGTGAAAATTACTTCTATCTTCTTTTCTGTATAAATTAAGGATTAATTGGAGGAAGAGAAACATTCTCCCTTTTCAAAGACGCATCACCCATAATTGGCACGCCTGAATTTCTGAGGTGCTCGCAGAAGTACAACAAGGCAAAGCCCCCCAGCCCACCTCCTGCTCTGGGGTGCAATAACCATCTTCAGATAGCTCTGCCTGCTCTGCCTTGGGCTCCTGAGGATCACTCCCTTTGGCCTGGGGCAGGAAAAGGAATAAATTCACTTTATTGAGCAACCTTGCTTCCCTTAATTCTTTTTTATTTTTTTTTTTAATAATCAGAGCCTGGTGAGGCCCTGGTACAGATTTACCAGAGCAGCTGTGGCTGCCCCTGGATCCCTGGAAGTGTCCAAGGCCAGGCTGGACAGGGCTTGGAGCAGCCTGGGAGAGTGGAAGTTTGTCCCTGCCTGTGGAAAGGAGCTGGAAAGAGATGAGGTCCCTTCCAACACAGAGTGTAAGGTGGGAGATTTCAGCTCCCTCCTGCTTTTTCTCCATGGTAGATCTAGTTTTCCACTCTCACTTCCACAGTCGTTCACAAAAAGAATAGTGTTGATGTACGTAGGAATCAGTGGTTTGCACAAGCCTCTGGACTAATACTGTCCCTTGGTTTTGTAGTCAGAGATTAATCCCTGTCTGTGAGGGAACAAGGTGAGGTTTTGTCATTCCTCAGAAGTAGCTACCCCTCAGAAAGGCTTTCCTTTAGTCTTAAAAATAGCCTGATATATAATATGGATATTATGAAGCCCAGGATGGAGGAGAAACCCCCCCAAATTATCATCAAAAGTGAGTTCTGGGAAAAATCATATTGATGTTACAATGTACACTGAGCAGATTCAACCCTGTCCTCTCGTTAGGTTACGGAGAAGCTGCAGCTCTTATGGTCAGCCTTGGTGTGACAGTTTTGCCACCATTTAGAAGCTCTGGTGTAAGATAAGATTCCCAGAGAAGCTGTGGCTGCCCCTGGATCCCTGGAAGTGTCCAAGGCCAGGCTTGGAGCAGCCTGGGCTAGTGGAAGGTGTCCCTGGCCATGGCAGCAGATGGGTTTGGGTCCCTTCCCACCCAGACCATTCCATGATTCCAAGGTAGCAGAGAAACTACAGCTTAAAGCCTTGAGAATTAAAATCAGCTCAAGGTTCTATTTCCTGCAGTACTTATGATTTATGAATATTTGTCTTTAATTTCCAACCCTGAGCTAAATGGACAGGCCATGGCCCATGCAGTGACAATCAAAGGAGTGTTTCGCCTGCTGGAGAAAAGCTCCAGACCCATTCCCCCAGCAAGGAAAGCCCTGACAGCCCTTCAGCCAGCTCCCCAATTTCCACAGAGGATTTGCTGAATTGTGCTGCTATTAGAAGCCCTTTGCAGTCAGTAATTTGGGGTTATTTATGCAGGAGAGGGGAGGGAACTGCCGCATCTAGAACAGAGGAGCAGGGAAGTTTAAGCTTCAGAACCTCTTTTCTGGACTAATGCTGTCCCCAAACTCGTGTTCTGTTGGTCATGGGATAATTTAATGACCTTCTAACTCTGCTTTAGCACTCTGTGCATGTGCCGGGGTGTATGGAAGAGGGATGAGTTTTTTGGCTGCCTCTGTCTCAGCTTCAGCATACGTGTTCCACATGGAATTAAACCACTCCTCTAGCCAAGCTGGAAATCAGAGAATAACAGACTTGTTTGGGTTGGAAATGACCTTAAAACCCATCTTGTCCCATGGGCAAGGGCACCTTCCACTATCCCAGGTTGCTCCTAGCCCTGTCCAACCTGGCCTTGGGCACTTCCAGGGATGGGCAGTCCTGAACTGCTCTGATGCTGGAGCCCAGAATGTGAATATCCTGATCCCAGTGGGTTTGGAAGAACAGGAGCCCACAGCTCCTCAACTCTGCTTTGTTGTCTTTTGTCTCAGAAAACGTATTTATCTGTCATGATTTATCTGTCTCCTTTCTTACCCATGAGGAAATGGTTATCAATTGGAAGAGCTGGCATGAATTATAAATGATTATCCCTCTTTTAACAGCTGAAAGCAGCACTTAAATGTGAAGCTCTTGAATGCAGTGCTGGTTTCCTGGATGAAAGGCAGGAAAGTTCGCTCTGCTGCAAGCCCCAACTTGCTGGTTTTCTTTCTTCCTCCCTCACCTCACTTAGTTCATTAATTCACACGGATCAGCTCTGGAATTCACTGCATTCCCTTAGTCCTGACTCTTCACCAAGTGTTATTTTCAAAAATAAGAATTCTTACTGATTCCCTAGCACAGGAAAGGTTGTTTTGCGCTTTTGATTTGTGTAAAAGCAGACGATGAAGGGAAGAGCTTTGAATGCTAGAACTTTGTGAAGAAAACTTAGGGAAGGAGGAGATGGCAGGGTGCGAGCAGGCGTGGAAGGGCTCCCTTGAATGGTTATTCAGGAATTTGTTCCCATTGCCTCTGGTTTTGCTAAAAA